CACACACACACACCTTTAATGAAAAGCAAACATTGTTCCAATTTCTTTCTTAAAAACAAAGATGACAAAACTATGTTCCTTAACTCCACACCAGAGCAAACGCCATCAGCTCTCTTCCACCTACACCTCGGACTCCAAGACTGTAAGGAATACAGGTGCGTGTTCTCAGGCCAGGATCTCCCCCTCACCAGGTATTACAATCTAGACATGGCTGTCAAAGTCTTCACTTCCATGATACTAACCTCCTTCCAGATTTTTCCTATTCCCCTTCTTATTCTTTCCTATTTCAAATCTTGGATTCTACCCTCTCCATCTTTTGAAAACTAACGTCCATCAAGGCTCGAGTCTCACAAGTTTGCGTGGGATTTATAATTTGGATCATAAATTCTCACAGTGCAAAGTAGCAAAAATTAAATCTAAGTCTAGTACTATAAGTTTTGTATTAAGGTAGAAGATTCCTATTACCTTGTACTACAAGTTTCTAACTGAGGATATCTACTTTCAAAAGCTCTGGGAAAAACATACCAAGGGAAGAGGTAAAAGTAAAACATGGAACCATTTGAGCACACACTGAAGAGAGAGATGCCTATGTTCTCGCTGGAAATTGCTTCCATCTCCGGGGTACAAATTAAAGCAGAATACTCTACCTCCACAAAAACATACAAAGACTGTACCATGTAGCCAGAGAGCAGTCAGGCTTAGGATCGGAAATAAACAGAAGTGAGCCTTTCTGAGAACAAAGCCTACAGATATGGAGACAGTTATTAGGAGGAGTGTGCACTCTTGTAACTGGCCAAAGAAATGAGTTGCAAAAATGTCAAGTGACCACAGCAGATCACAAAAGGAAGGATAATTTCATCACTAGAGAACTGTCAAACCACTGAGAATGACGACCTAGGCAAAACGTCACCCAACCTTAACCAGCACAACATAGTTACCCTAGCCTTGCAGGTTGGCATGCCAGGAATAAGTAACTCATGGGAAAATTTTAATAAGATCTTAAAGGCAAAATGTCAGCAAGAAAGTTAAGTGAGAAGTCGGTGTATAAAAAGCAGAACACAAAGTGCATGAAACAATATTTACACTTAGTAAAAAAGAAGTTATATAACAATAGTCTTATTAATACTTAAGTATAACAGGAAAAAAGCAAAACAAATCATTACAAAATCAAGAAGTATAGGTTGGAACCACTAACTTGATCACAGCCTGCTAACAGACTGAAGCCTATGCTTTGAAAACACTCAAATGGGGGCATCTTCCAGATTGCTACAATGAAAACAAAAGTGCCTTTCTCAGCGCTGTTTCTCATCATGCCTCCGACTGAGGGTGAAGCACCACAGCCAGGCACAATTCAATCACAGCTTGATCTAAAGTCTTAACTGTGTGGAATGACAGCAAGAGTCTTAACTAGCATAGACAGTTCTCTAGGTGGGATCAGGAGGGCCCTACACTGAATGCATGTGTACACATGTACTTCTCAAGCAAGGGAGTTCTCAGTTTGAAGCAAATTTTCGAAGAATCAATGTTTATTTAAAAGAAAGCTCAAACCCAAACTCAAAAGGAATGGATGAATCACCCATCTTTGCAGATTTATGAATATTAATTTTTTTTT